AATAAGTCGCTATAATAAGAATACGAGGAAGTCCTATCCGGATGATTTTTGAATGTATAGGGTGTAGAGCTGATACAACTGCCCATGCGAAACAAGCATTATCATAATAATTTTTAACATTAACACGCATGTTTTTTTGCAATTTCTTTATGTAGTATAATGAAGGATGATCAGTTACCCATTTCAACGTGATTATGTTAATTTTTAAACTTAAACTTTTTTTTAATGCCCACTCACTATCATTTTCTGCAAATTCCTCATTTTTATTTAAAATTGTATCAATAACATTCAACCAACTTTTTGTATTAAAATACTTTACATCTACAATTTCTTTATTATATTGATTTTGTTTTAAAAATTCTCCCCCAAAACATGCATTAACTTTAAGTATTGACATCTCAGATTTTACTAAAAGTTTTAGGATTTGAAGATTAATGCTTGGGATGAACTAAAATCACAATAATATATTTTTATTTAAACACGCTGAGAAATTAGGCGAGAGCATGTTGACCGGTTTGCATAAAATATTTACAAATCGGTTTACAAGAAATCCTTTTGTAACTTTTTTAATTATTAATATTTATTATCGCTTAATATTTTGTTTTAACAATAAAACAATGTACATTTAATATATATATATATATACCAAAAATTATACAAATATTTTTACAAGTGCAGTTTTTTTAGTTCTAAATTCACGCTTCTTTTAACTGAAAAGTGAATTTTCTACCATTGATATTATGTAGTAGTCTATGGAAATTTGATTTGGTGTATATTTTTATTTAAAGTACTTATTAATATCGATTAAAATATAAAATGCAAAATTATAAAAAAGTACCCAAATTTCAGGAAATACCATTTTTATTATAAAATTTTCCCATTTTTGGCGAAAAAAGTTCATTTTTTAGTCCAGAGGTTTTAAGTGCGACAAATTTTATAGAAAATGGCACTAAGCTTTTATATGATTTTTGTTCACGCTTCTTTTAACTGAAAAGTGAATTTTCTACCATTGATATTATGTAGTAGGCTATGGAAATTTGATTTGGTGTATATTTTTATTTAAAGTACTTATTAATATCGATTAAAATATAAAATGCAAAATTATAAAAAAGTACCCAAATTTCAGGAAATACCATTTTTATTATAAAATTTTCCCATTTTTGGCGAAAAAAATTCATTTTTTAGTCCAGAGGTTTTAAGTGCGACAAATTTTATAGAAAATGGCACTAAGCTTTTATATGATTTTTGTTTAAGAAGTCAAACTATTATATTTTTTACATTTAAAAAATATTTACATGTTGACATTTTTACATGTTTACATGTTTTAAAATGTGCTCCGTCGGACAATTCCTGAATGAGAAGTTTCGAAAACTGATGAAATGTGATATTTTATTACAAAATATCGAAGAACCTAGTTCAAACTCTTTTAAAACTAAGAGTAAATAATAATTTTCAAACAGTGTGTCCCTATCATTTAAAAAAATATGTGTATAAATATTTAGTCATTTACTTACCTTTAATTTACCAGTTTCTGATTTCATTGACGAAATATTATCAGCAATAGATTCTTTAAAAAAGCATCAGTATATTTCAAAAGATCAGACAAAATATGCATCTTAAAAAAAATGATTTGCTTCCCATGCTGAAAATTTCTCCTCCGTTGTACCATACGAAATACAAAATTTTCACTGGGTAAATAGTCTGGCCACTGTACATCCCTTTGCTATGTGTTATAAAGATAAATATAATGAATTATGTCATACAAGTTGTTTACACTTTTCTTAAAGAACTTAATTTCATAAAATTAAATTTTTCGCAAATAAAAAAATAATATATTTTACTTATGGATGTGGGGACAATATAAATTAAATATAATTTTATTAATTTAGCATATTACAAAAATGACTTTAGTTTGGGAGTAGAGTGGCATTTTTTGCCACATCGCACGGAAAAGGACCATGTGATGGAATAGGGGGAACCGTTAAGATATTGGTTTCAAAAGCAAGCCTGAAAGGACCATATAAGGATCAAATTTACCTTACATTTAGATTTGTTTTGCAATGAAAATATAAAAGGAATACTTTTTTTATAAAAAACCTAAAATAATACAACAAAAATTAATCCTTGTACTAAAAAATACTAGAAGTTTTCATTCATTTGTGCCTGAAAATTTTCAAATTATTCAGGTTCGAAGTACATCGGAATCAAATCGTTTTATAAATAAAAAATAATAAAAAGAACAAAATTTGCAGCTTTAAAAAACCAATAATTAATTATTAAATTATGTTAAATTTTATTATAGGGAATGTTATTAAATTAAAATTAATTAACTTATATAAACGTTACCTGTACCTATAAATGAAGTAACACGTTAATATATAAAGCATTGTTCACGATAAAAAACAAGTTCTCTGTTAAAAGTATTGCTAAAATAAACATAATTATTCACTTGAGCATAGTACCAAAATTTTTCTTGTCTTAAATTAAATAAGTGAATGTGATTGGTTGAAACCATTTAACAGTAATAAAAATAAAATAGGCGATCCATCATAGCCTCCAATATGTAATCATTCTGTACCTTAAGATAACAATACAAATATTGTTTGTTTTATTTTATATTAATTATTATGCAAAGTAGTCGTGGCGAATGTTTCAAATTGCGTTATCAATGTTGAATGTCAAAAACCGATTTCTCGACATACGGTTAACCTAGCGGTTCCTTGGATTATATACGTAAAAGAAAACAACAATAATTGTAATGTCTGTGCTTGGTTCAGAATTTGATGACGCAATTTGAAACATTCGGCTCGACAACTATACAGGGATGGTAATGTGCTCTTAGGCCGTTTAATAAATAAAGACAAATGCATTATGAGACGTTGGAGTGGTGGAGTGACGTAAGAGTAGTGGGGCAGGCCAGACCGCGCCGCGCCAGGGCTGGATGCTCCCGTGTACGAGTTTTGGTTCATGCCGCGCATGACGCCACTTGATGAGTAGTTGCCGTGCGAATACACGAATAATAGTAATATTATCAAAGAACATAGAGAAATATCTGGACATAGTGCGTTTTTATTAAACTTAATATTGAAGAAAGTGTTATAATATGGATAATAGATGCTTTTAGTCCTTGATAACATTTAGGGCTGTAGTTTAAGCGTTGGTGTTTTAAATTAAACTTATAGCCACTGTCCAGAAAATGTTTATAGGAAACAGAAGCGGTCTTAACGTTAATATTGTCTATTCTTTTTGTGGCATTTAACCACTGTTTCCACAAATCAAAGTTTTTCGGGAATCGATTAAATTTAATGTTTTTATTTAAAGGGTTTTTCTTGGACTGGTTGTCTGAATTGCATCCAAATATGCCACACATTATTTTTATAAATGCAAATGGTACGACACAAACTAAAACACAAACAAAACAAGTTAACGCAACACAAAAACAATAATAAACAAACAGAACAGGTTAACACAACGCAATAACAATAATTTAAACACTGAAAAGTAATTCGAACCTTACCGAAAGCAAAAACAACAAGTTAAAAAAAAATAGAGCAAGTTAGCATCCAACAGCATCGCAAAAACAAGAATTTTAGCAGCAGATAATTAAAAAGCACGTTAAAGATTTAAAAACACTCATCAAGTGACGTGTTTAAGCCCCGCCCAACATGCGCACCATTCAATCTTAAGGTGTATGTATCTTGGTGGGATTGTAAAGCAGTTAGAGGAGGGGAAGTAAAACATTGGCGGACGTTTAATTGTTTTGATTTAATCGTTTTAAAATCTTGTTTTTCACGCTTATGGCAGAGGGGAAATAAGTATTTCGTTATCCTATTCGTTCAACAATGGTTGTTTGTCTCTCTTATTTATACGTTTATCTCACTTATTCGTACGTTTCATATAGCATGCATCTTTGTTTATTAAACGGCCTAAAAGCCCATTACCATCCCTGTATACGTTATTTTGTTTATTATAATAATAAAATAATTATTTATTGTTTATGTAGCTTAATTTTTACCATTTTATATTTCTTTTTCAAACACCTTTAAATATCATTTTTTTATCAAAGCCATCTTGATAAAAAAGACCATGAAAATAATTCCATATTCTATACAATTTATGGTATTTACCGTTGTATCTTCCTAGCAAGGCAAATATACAAAAATTTTTTTTTACAGTTTTCAGTTTATATATAACCCTGTATTTTGTTAACGAAGCATTTTCGAAAAAAATTTAGGTTTTCTTATTATTTCGACTTTATCTACACTCTGTTTAATTTATGGTACCTTATTTAGAATCACCTTGTATATAGAAATTTGAAAGCATTTTTTCGTCTTTATTGAAATATATATGTAATATAAAACCATTTTTGTATTCATTTACAAAATAATGAAATATTTATATAGGAGTAAATATAATTGTATGATTAAAGTGATTTTTAGATCCAAACCTAAACTAACTTTTTGTATTTTCAGGTGGACTGGTTAGTGTGGCCTGCTACTCAATTTGTAAATTTTTATTTATTGCCAGTTAAATATCAAGTTTTATTTGTAAATGTTGTGACAATGATATATAATATTTTTTTATCATACATTAAGTACCGAAATAATGAAAATCAAAATATAAATGAGTAATTTAAATAAATAAAATATTTTAAAATACTGTTGTTTTACTTATAATAATATGAAAACTGGTGTAACAACTGTTTTTTTTTAACCCATTAATTCCAGGCAGATAGATAGATGGCTATCGGGTGGCCACCGGGCTTTCACTACCATAAAAGGGCTATTGTTGTTCCCGTAAATCTCATACCACTTCAAATTGCGTTTAGCCTGAAGCTTCCAGAGAGTGGTTTCCTGATGTAGTCAACTGGTGTTGGCTTCTGACTTTCCATCTGGCCGAAACGAATCCCACAGTGCATCACAGTGGCTAAGTATGCAGTGGTGTTTTGCCCTCCTCTTGGCAAAACATCGTCTGACAGCTATAGGCGCTCCATGAGTTTGTTAAGACTGCAGTGGCCCGTGATCAGACCCTTCCGTGGACCGCCTAAGAAGGTTTTCCGTAAATTTGGGAGATCTTCCTTTTAAAAATTCTTTGGTATGCCTTAGTTTGGGGTAATTGCTCCACAAATCGTGAGACATATTTCTTATCCATTCCTTTACATACGTTTTGGCTATGGATCCATGGTATCTATGTGCTGCTTGAAAATCAGTGAAGATGACGATATTTATTAATATTGAATTTAATTTAATTTAATTTTAATTGAATAAGTCGCTATAATAAGAATACGAGGAAGTTCTATCCGGATGATTTTTGAATGTATAGGGTGTAGAGCTGATACAACTGCCCATGCGAAACAATCATTATCATAATAATTTTTAACATTAACACACGCATGTTTTTTTGCAATTTCTTTATGTAGTATAATGAAGGATGATCAGTTACCCATTTCAACGTGATTATGTTAATTTTTAAACTAAACTAAACTTCTTTTAATGCCCATGGGCACTCACTATCATTTTCTGCAAATTCCTCAATTTTATATAAAATTGTATCAACACCATTCAAATTTTTGTATTAAAATATTTTGTTTTAAAAATTCTCCCCCAAAATATGCATTAACTTTAAGTATTGACATCTCAGATTTTACTAAAAGTTTTAGGATTTGAAGATGAATGCTGGGGATGAACTAAAATCCCAATAATATTTTTTTATTTAAACTCGCTGAGAAATTAGGCGAGGGCATGTTGACCGGTGAGAAGAACATTCTGTTAAATTTTGAAGAATTTTCGTTCAGTACCTCCGGACGAAAAAGTGCATTTTTGTTCACGAAAAATGAGAAATTTTCATAATTAAGATGGTATTTCCTGCAATTTGGATACTTTTTTATAATTTCGCATTTTATATTTTAATCAATATTTATAATTACTTTAAATAAAAATATACAACAAATCAAATTTTCATAGCCTACTATATAATATCAATGGTAGAAAATTGATATTTTCAGTTAAAAGAAGCGTAAATTTAGCACTGCAAACTGCATTTGTAAAAACATTTGTATAATTTTAGGAATATATTTAAAAATTATATTGTTTTATCCACGACTACCTTATAATATATACTTTATAAATGAGTTTTCTAAAGCAAAATGATAGTCATATTTCACAGAGTGAATAATAGCAGTGAATAATCATTATTCACTGGTCTAGAGTTCCTATAGGACACACGATATAGATTGTATCTGGTAAGCACTTATCAGTTCGTCTAGGCAATTATAGCCAGGCACTTTAATTAGCTAACTTTATACCAATCATAAAAGTCTTGTTAAAGTATTACTATTAATATGTTTTTTTAATGCAATTGAATAAAAATTTAACATTAAGTAGACTATTTCAAGTAAGTAAGCCATTGACATGACATGACAAGCTTAGCATAAATTGCTGTCAATTTGAAACGTCATAAGTTCGATCCAGCACACGATTTTTGTTACAAATTAATATTAAGCTTAAATTATACATAAAAAATCAAAGCGTGAAAGATGAAGAGATGTTACGCACTCAACAAAACATCACAGAAGTCACTTTTCAAAATACGAATTACCTAAAAAATCACATTAATTGGAAATAAAATACTGCATAATCTATAAATAATAGAATTATCAAGTAGGAAGCCATGTAATCAACTGACAACTAATAATTATTTGAAACGTCAAATTTTAACGACGCGGTGGTGCAATAATAATTCCTGTTAAAATTATAATTTGCTTTCAAAAATACGTTAACAATGGAAATTGATAGTGAGGAAGAGATATTGTGTACTCCACCGAAGATAACAGAAGCTGCAAAAGTCACTTCCCTGAATTTGTTGCCTGAGAAATCCCGAAATTTGTACGTATCTGTGTACAACACCTTTATATATATGTATATATATTACAATTATTATAAATAAATAGTTTTAAAAATAGTCACAGGCATCTTTAATTTTTGGTTTTGTTAATGTCAAATAGGTTATAATAAATATAAATTTTTTTGCATTACAATCCGTTAAAAGTCAATAGTAGTCGTGGACAAAGCATAGTATTCTACTCACATATAATGAGCTATTATTCACTCAGGTTAATTATGTCACGAGCGTAAATAATAGCCCTCATTATATGCTCGTATAATAATATACTATTATGGTTAAAACAAAATATTACTCGATACAAAATATTAATAAACAACTAAGTTATAAAGGTTTTTCTTAGACACCGATTTGGTAATTTCTTATGCAAACCGGTCAACATGGCCCTGCCTACTTTCTCAGGGTGTTTAAATAAAAAAAAATATGATTGTACCGAAACGTCGTTAGACATACGGTCCTTTTAAAATCCATAATAATTTTTTTTGTGGCTGTATATTGGACAAAGTGAGGACCGATCATGCAGAGTACAAAGCGGGGTTCGTATATCCTGCAGCATGCACGGCATCTTATGAGGTCCGATTTTTGCATATATATTCATGTAAGGACCAGCAGTGTTGCCACATCGTATCGATGTTGGATTTACGAGGGGGGTCTTCGGGTACGGACCCCCCTTCGGGATCAGAAAAACCAAAATTTATTATTAAGTGATTACCAGAAGAAAATATTAGAAGGCATTTTTCTTGAAAACCATGGTTTTGGGAAAAAATGACTTCTAATATTTTCGGACCACCAAAAATATTGGATATGTGGCAAAACTCGCTAAACATGCCACCTATCTGCCTCGACATCAGCCCAAATTTGGAACAGTTGTATGTACTGTACTTCAATATTTAACTAATTAAGTAACGCGTTTCGTATATACATAGCGTTCAGGGTTTACAGTGGTTTAGTAATTTGCTTATATCTTTCACAAATATTAGGTAACCAATTTTAAAAAACTTGTCTAAAATAGTTAGTAATTGTTAGTTTTTGATGAAATTTGGTATGTACACATTTTAAAGCATGTCGCATTCAGTGGCTTACTTGTTTATTTTTTATTTTTTTTTACAAAAAACGACCCTAATAATTTTTTCCGAATTTTGACAGAAATTTTTTTTTTAGTAGGCATCTGTCGGGTGACATTAAAAACAATTTTTACATCTTACATAGAGTTTTTTATTCTCTCTTTTCAGAGGCTCAAAAGAGAGAATAAAAAACTCATTAAAATCAAGTTGCAAATACAAAAGCTACGGGGGTGATTCCTTCTTAAATATGTCACTCTATATACAATATATATTAGGGTGTGCCAAAAAAACTCGATATTTTTTTCTTGCTCTCCACCCAAAATATCGTAGAATATGTCCGAACTAGGGGTGTCAATCCCGGGATCCTGAAATCCCGGGGTCCCGGGATCACGTAAAAAATCGGATCCCGAAAATCCCGGGATTAAAAGTCCCAATCCCGGGATCTTAGTAATAAGTTACAAAGAATAAAATAGACTTTTTTTTAAGCGTATGACATTTTTCATATTATAATACTCATAAGCATATATATATAAACACTGTTTTTACTTAGTTCAAGTCAAATTATTATACACCGCCGTACAATAATAAAAATACATTGAAATTACATAAAAAGAGTGGTTCCATCTATATCATAAAATAGAGAATAAATTTATGTACATAACCTATAATCAGGGCCGGCCCGACGTTTTTTGCCGCACCGGGCGAAGATATTTTTGCCGCCCCCATTTTATTCAGCAGGAATAGGAAAAAAAGTAGTTTAACGTAATTATTTTTTTCAAATTTATTAATTTTTTATAAGAGTCTTTTATGCTTTAGAATTACTAGGTAAGGCAATATACTGTTAAATATATACCAATAATTGCATCACTTGTCAATGATTATATCCTATATATTATTATATACTGTAAATAGTGTCACACAAGAATTCTTTGGTTTGTTAAAATTTACTTTCGCAATATTCCGCAATAGCTCAGATTATTATTTTACATATTTGCTGTTAAAATATCGTATTTTTAATGTAAAAGTATACAGACCGAGTGCCCCCGAACATTTTAACTAACTAACTTCAGGTAAATCATCTTTAAAAGTAAATTAACTCAATAATTACGTAATGAAACATTAATTTTTTTAGTTTCTTTAAGAAACTTTCTTGACCCATTACTGGTAATATTCATAGGTTAATTTTTTTTATTATAATAATAATTACGTATACGTACTCTCTAAAAATGAATTAGTCAAAAATAACTAATTTAATATTTAATAGTGGCTGCTTTTTCACTTGTGCCATGGTTAACCATCGAATACCATGGTATCCCAAAATTTAATAGCCAATCCTTATGTAAAATTGTACCCTGAATCCGAAAATGTCTTCAAAAGTTAAAAAAGTAGAACAGTTTTTGAGATATAGTAAATTTTCCATTTAATATGGAATTGACTATATCTCAAAAACTGATCCACTTTCATAATTTTTGACGGTATTTTCGGATTTAGAGTACAATTTTACATAAGAATTGGCTATTAAATTTTGGGATACCATGGTATTCGATGGTTAACCATGGCACAAGTGAAAAAGCAGCCACTATTAACTATTAAATTAGTTATTTTTGACTAATTCATTTTTAGAGAGTAATGAGTTTAGCGGACTTTGGCAAAACCGAATGCTGCTGTGATGCACGTCAGATCATTGATTTTAGACCTCTAAAAACAATGTTTAGATGTACAGTTGTATTCAATAAAAAAGCGTACAAGAATTAGAATGAGAGAAAACTGTCAAAATAATATTATTGCCTAAAACCGGCTTATCACTGACATAAGTCATTAAAATAATTATTATAGGTTATAAAGAGCATTGACGTCGTAGGTTAATTAAATAATATTACAAAAATTATAACCTTTTAATAATGAAAAAAACAAACATTAAAAAAAAATTTAATATTTAGTCATGCATCCCTGTTTTTCTATTACTTGAGCCAATCTATTTGGGATGAACTGAATTAAATTTAATACAATATTTGGATTAATATCTTTCCAGCAGTATAGTAGGTATAGTTTAGTTGTATAGTTTCCCATAAATCCTCAGATATCTCAAAAAAGCAGCATCCTGTTCAGGGGTGGACATTTTGGGACGACCTGAACCAACTTTTTGGTTTAGTAAATCTTCCTGTTCCCAGCGTTGCTTAATTTTTAAT